CCTTAATTATGTTTAGGCATGTTCCTTGTATCCCTGCTCTCTCCAAGACCTTTATCACGAAGGGACGTTGTATTTTGTTAAATGCTTTTTTGGCCTACTTTGGCCTAAGTTGCCGGCTTTGCCCTGTTTCTGTAAATCCTGTTCTGGAACCCCTCCTGCAGAGTCCCAGGGTTGGAGTTGGACCTGGAAACATTTCTGGCTCTGGTCTACTGCCTTGGAGGTCCCAAGCTTGGGTGCACCCAGAATCACAGAGGACCTTCTTACTCCCTCAGAGGTTCCAGACTCACACTTGGACCTGCAGAGGTTCCAGCTTCCTGCATATTCCCTTTGATGCACCCAGACAAATGCTTGGACCCTCAGAGGTCCTGGATCAGGCCTACTCCCTCTGAGGACCCAGACTCACACCTGGCCCTGCCGAGATGTCTGGTTCCTGCCTATTCCCTTGGAGGTCCCAGGTTCACTCATGTCCAGACTGGCAGAGGTCCTGGCTCAGTCCTAGTTCCTGGGAGGTCTTAGACTCATGTGCAGACTCACCTGGGTCCTGGCTTAGGTCTACTACCTTGAACATCCCAGATTCACGTACAGACCCTCAGTGGTTACTTCCCTGTACCTTTTCTGGTGGAGATCACTGACTGTGGATCTGGTCACAGACTTAATCCTCATCAGCCAGTTTCCTGGGACTGGGTTGGCTTCCAGGACTGGATTTCCTCTTGGCTTCTGCTCCTGGTGGAGCTTGTTCCCTCTCTGTCCTACGTAGCTGGTTCTGTCCCACTCTGGTTACACGTGGATATCGCTGACTCTGAGTCAGGTCACTGGTTCAGTCCTGGTCCACCAGTGTCCGCGGACTCAATTTGAGAGATTTTAAATCTTTTTCAGGACAGTTTTTAAAGTATTTAAATTTATAAGGCTACAGTACATTTTTAAGTTTATAAAATGTTTTATATTGTTAATATTTGGACTTAAAATAAAAAGCTAAAAGTTAGGGCCACATTCATAAGCCTTACAAAGGAGAAACTGGTGTGTTAATTACTTATGATACAGCAAGACAATGACCTAAGCAGTCTGGCAAAGGGCTTGAGGCAGCTTCTCAGCCCAGTGAGTCTGACACTCTGGGGGTTAAACAACCTTTTACAGGGGTGTGAAAGGACCGCCTGCGTGTCACGTGTTTACATTAAAATTCCTAACAATGACAGAACTGCAGTTCTAATAGAGCAATGGGAAAAACTGTGTAATGGGGAGGGGGGTCAATGCAATATGGGGAACTATATTAGAAGTTCAAAACATTGGGAAAGTTAAAAACTAATGGTTTAGAGAATGTGTCTCCTTACTCAAGGTCTATTTAGGCCTTAGAATGGATGTCTAGCCTCCTTGTCTTTGCTAACTTTGCTAAGCTCAAGCTTTTTGGATAAACTGAGTAATTTAAAAATTTTATTTTAATATTAAAAGAGATCTAATTCAAGATCATTATTTTTTTAGGGTTAAACCTGACTGAAATGGGATATGAAGCCCAAGTCTTAGAAAAGTTGCTAACTTATTGTAGAATGTTAGGGAACACAAGTAAACAGTCAGTCATCCTTATAAATGATTAAATTCTTTAATTATAATCATGTTAAGTCATGACAAAATTAATTATAGGGATAAGCCTTTGTTTGGGAAGACTATTCATTCATTCCCAGCCTCTCAGAAACCTACAAAGTTTCTGTGGGCTACATCGGAGGCATCTGTCTCCTGTGGGCTTCTCTTTGACTCCACCTTCTTTCTCCCAGCATTCAGTTTAGTTTTCCTTGCCTAGCTCTATTTTTCCCTATCACAGGCAGCTTCTTTATTCATTAAACAATAACGGCAACACATATACAGAAGGACTTCCAATACCAAGCCTTACTTAGTCCCCTGTATATGTTCAAAGTTAAGCTTAAAACAAGTAACTAGAAACAAAGTTTGTCTACTCAGATATACCTAGACATTTCTCAAAAATATATCAGAGATCTACAACATACGGCATTTAAAATGTTGATTTAAAAGCTTATGATATCATACAGAGACTCCCAGATCCTATCAGTGACTCAAGGTCTCCAAAGAAGATTACACACACCACGATTACTCCACCTGGATTTGGCAATGCTGACCACTGGGCAAGATGACCCAGTGAAACAACTGCCACCAGGACCCAGGCCAGGTTGTGGACAAGCAGAAGGACATTGGAGAATTAATTGCACCCCCTTTGCCTAGACAAAATAAGATAGGTCTTACCCATGTTCCTCCACAGAAGAGACTCCCACCTTATGGGCCTGGTGAAGACTGATACTGTTCTGATACTTCTGCCTCCAACACTATGGAGACCTGGGTATGGCTCACTGGGTATGGGCTGGTCTCTGTCATTTTTAATAGATTCGGAAGCTGCTTGGTCTACACTCAGGCATAATTTAACCTTCTTGGATCTCTGAGAGTATTAACCACTGGACTACCTATGGCTGTCAGATTAGCAGCAGGCAGCCAGGTTCTTCCCCAACGCTACAGCCAGCTTCTTAGCTCATTTCATATGTTAAAATCAAGAGTTGCTTTTCCTAGAGCTACTAGGTCCCCTGTTGAGAAAAGGTGGATAGGTTTGTCTTGCTTCATAAGAAAAGGGCTTCATAATAGTTTGACAGGCTTCATAATAAAAGATAAACAGGTTTCAGTTGTAACTTTCCACTATAGGAATATGATTAGAACGTGATTAGAAATGACTGTTCTCAGTAGTAACTGCCTGTGTCTCTGGTGAACAAAGAAAGGGAATAAAAGAATAAAATCTATACAAGTTTTGAGGATCTAAATATGTTTTCAGATCTAAAGATATTAAAGCTTATAAATTGAAAGGGTCTCAAAACGTTTTAAGTTTTATAAATAAGATATAAAAAATATGTTAAGATATAAAAAGTGTTTTAAATTTCTTCCCCTGCTATGGTATACACGTTCACAGCTTAACATTAATAAAGTTCTGATAAGTTAATAAGACTTTAAGGTACTTCTCCCTTGGCTAAGGGCATCTCACTGCAATCTTTATCTAGCTCTCTGGACAGAGGAAAATGTACATGCTTTTAACCCAAATCTGTAGTTTTTGCTAGGACTCGATGGTATGAGTCTACTCCCGCTGTTTTATAGATACCTGCTTTTTCTACCATATGGTTTTCAGTAATGTATCTAAAACTTTTATGTCACGTTTTGTAAACAAAAAAAATCATGTAAGGTTCAGAGAATCTGGGAAGTCATAAAACTTTGATTCACTTCCCACAGGTCAAAAGAACTCCAGATAAATACAGCCCAAGGTTTCCCCACGTGTCTAGTGCTAAGGATGATATTTTTCTCTCTCCTGGTCTGGAGACTCCTCCATTTTCCACTTACTAGGACTATGGGCCTGAATATTTACCTTTAAGTTCATAATTTTAACTTCTGTTCCTCGTTTAAACTTGTTTCAACAGGATTCCACTTGGTTGACAGACACATTTAAGCATCGGCTGCTGACCACAACCTGTTCCAAATGACTGAGCCCTGGACGTGCTGGAAACTGATGTGGACCAGTCCAGCACATGTGAATGCTCCCTGTGTCTTCAGTGCAGTCAGCCAACCTGATGCTTCTGATGAGTGCCCCATTGTCAGAATTCCCTCCTTGCCTTTGACCAGCCTTTCAGCCTGATAACAATGCCCCAATGTCAGCTTGAAGTAGTTATAGAAAAGAACAAGTCATCCTGTGCTCCCCATCCAAAATAGGTTGAAATGCTTAGTTAAGGGGGTACTCCCTGGCTTGGGGAACAAAATGGCTACCTATAATGTCCATTGCCATAGCAGGAAAATAGGCCCAGAGTTGTTAATGAATGGACTTATTAACTAAAATGTTTCTGCAATTAGATAAAACACTTTGGTTCTTTAGGCAGAACCGAAGAGATCATTCAGGATTAATTTTGTTGTATTCAAAGATCAGAGCTATAAGGCCTGGTAGCCAAGGATGGTCACTGCTGTAGAAAAATCTGTTAGCTAATAGTTTTTAGGTCCCAATACCATCCCCTTGAGTCCATAGGCAGTAGGACCCGTGATTGGGTCCTGTCGTCTGTACTTGTGAAGAGGGGTATGTATGGGCCAGTCATAATAGGCTCAATAGAGATCAGTCAGTGAAAGAGCAGGCCTGAGTTTCAGGTTGCTCTAAGGCAATACCTGGTTCCAGAAAAGACCACAAACTGAGACCACTCAGGCACCACCCAGGAATGGGACAGTCAAGGGGAAAATACCTAGCATTCCAAAGAAAATACCTAACATTGCAATCTTTGTAGATAGGGTCACCAGACTTCCCTTAGTCCAGCACACACCAGTTCCCATTCACTAAGACACCCCAACCTCTGCTGTGATAAAAATCCTAACCCAATTTGGATCATTGCTCTCCAATCTCACTGCTATGTCAGATGGATGCAGGGTCGAAGCTCAAGCTTTAATAACAGCTCTTGGCTTTTGTTTACAAGGACAGACTCCATAGTGTTATTAGGGTGATCCTGCGATCTGGGCATAACAATATGAACCAGATTCAAACACAGCTAGAGTCAATGGTACTGAGCAGGGAATATGATAAATTATATTACAATTACATGAGTAGAAATTACAGTTTACTTTAGAACCAGCTCTTTTGTACAATTAATGCATGCTAAATAGAACATTGAAAAACTGTTTTCCACTGATACAGAAATAGAACTTGTTACACAGGTTATAAGAGAGAGAACTGACCTAGTGAGAGTCCAAACTTCCGCTCTGCTCAGCTCCCCAGGTCCTGCTCCAGATGAGTGTGGGAGCTACTTTAATAAGGTGACCATTCTCACCAAGGGGGTGAAGACCAATAGGGAGCAGCCACTCCCATTGACTCCTATTGACTCCCACAGAGTTCACGATTCCAGAGTTTCATGATAGACTAGAAATGTGACAAGTCAGAGGGAGGAAGCTATGAGGCCCCATCCGTTCCTGAAAATCTAGAGTTCTTCAATTTAGTCCTTACAGTCCTATATATAACCTTACACAGGCTTCCTATAAACAACTCTATAGAAACTCAGCATCTCTCTCTCTTTCACACACACACACACACACACACACACACACACACACACACACCCCAGGTGGAGGGGTAGGGAGGAAGGAATAAGTAAAAAACTTCATAAGATCTTTTTTTTTTTCTTTCAGAACTTGCCTCAAGTTTATTTGTAAAAACAGCATAAGGTCCTGAACATCTGCAAATACTGTGTAGGTGTTCACACCAGTCCATCTGTCTTCACATTAGCAGACTGAGACTTTTTTTATGGGGCCTTCACAGGGGCCTGAGTACCTTTGGGAGCCTGAGCTGCAGCTGAGGTCTCTGTCTTGGCTTGAACCTTGGGCTTTGTTTTTTGGAGCCTACGACCCCTGGCCATGTAGCTTCTAATCCGCTTCCCAAGCTTGGGGTGAGCAATTAAAGCCAGACGGGTGAGTTTGCAGCTGGGGCCCTTTGGCACCTTGGGCTTCACCACCTGGGGCTTCACCAGGGCCTTGATGGCCTCCACATGTGCGCTTATGGCCTTTGCATTATTTGCCTGGATCTTCTTCAGGCCTTTCGTGTTGTGCTTCTTGGCAAAGCGCATGTTCCTCAGGAACTTGGGGTCAACCCCCTTGAGAGATTCGTATCTTTGTGACCGGGGTTTCTTGATGCCGTTTCTGTGCCATTTTCGGGACTGGTTGTGTGTGGTATGGTTCTTGGACTTGGCCATGGCTGGACGGTAATCTGCGGCTCCCGAAGCGCCTGCGACTGGAAGAACGTCATAATATCTTATATACTATGTCCTTCCTTAAGTGAGTCAGAGCCCTCAGCTAGAATAATAAAATGTGACTTTAAACTACTGAGTTTAGGAGATACCTTGTTAAGTAATTCCTAAATTACAAAATTTACAAATTGTCTTAAATTCAAGGCTAGGCTGAAGAACAGTTTACTCTGTATCCCGTGTATTGGTAATACCATAGTATCTGTCTTAACCTTTGTCCTGTTTTAATCTGGAGCTGAAGGGCAGAAAGGAATTTCACAATTCACCCTTACCTTCACCTGGATAGCCATCAACACACTGTCCCAGCATGCTCTGGGACTCTGCATCTGTGCATCCCTGCAGTTCCTGCTGTGGGAAGCTGTCATGTCACCATTAGCAATGGCATTAAAGACAGTGAGAATTACGGTTACTTCGTGCCAAGTTCACACTCAGGGATCTTATCCACAAACAAGGGCATCTGTCACTGACTTCACTCACAGACCCACAAGTTCTCTTGGGATTTTAGATATAATCATTGGTTCATAGATCTCTGGCTGTCAATCATTGCATGCTGACCTCGGTGGCTTCAGAGATGCATGTCACTGCCTGAGTCTGCACACCCTCCAGTGTCCAGGGCTGGCCCCTTTGTATCCTGGTGTGCACTGCTAATTTCTCCTCAGCTGTAGAATCTGCTCCACTGCTCTACAAACAGATGGCAAAGCAGCAGTGCTGCCCTCCAGGGTGATGCGCATGTGCACAGCACAGGGTCTCAAGTCCGTGTGTCAGTCAGTTCTAGGGAAGAGTTGTATCTGACACAGATCATGAAAGAGTCCATGTCACAGGCAGCGAGCACCTGGCAGAGGAAGAAAGAAAACCTGTGGGGAAGGCGAGTGTCCCAGGAGAGCACTGTGGAGACTTGCTGGAGAGAACTGGAGATCTCAAGTGCACAGCAAGGGCTGAGTCAGGAGCTCTGCTGAGGGTGCTGTTGCCTCTAAACTGAGTCCATTGTCCCAGCCCTCAGCTGCCTGCCTGTGGTGCCATGTTCCTGGGACCATGTCCCTGTTCTTCTAGCCTGCCTGCACTTTAGTCTTTCTGCAGCCCAGGCTCCGCACTCACCATTGCTTCAGCTGGGCCTGCTCCTCTCCATCCACATGCTGGGCTCCCCCATCAGGTCCCTGTGCAGACAGCACAAAGCCCTGAGCAAGGAGCTCTCCAGAGCTTGGTTCTGAGTCCCTAAGGCTGGCCAAGTGTGCAACACACTGGAAAGCCTCTGTGAGTGTGTGACCAACTTTCCTTTAGTCTTTGAGATGTGTCACCGTGAGCAGGTGTAGAAAAGACATTCTAGTGGCCCATCATGTCCCACCTCCGAACCAGGTAATGTTAAAGTTCTTTGATGAAAATTCTGACCTTTATCTCTAATAAAAATGGAATGTGTTCTACAAATGCATTCTTTGAAATAACTTCGCCTGGAGAAAAGAGCAGCTTGGAGGTAATTTTTGTTCTGGCACGCTCTCAAGAGCCTTGGGTAGAGCCAACCTCAAAAAGAGAAGTTCAAAGGCATAAAACCCCCAAATACTCTTCCCCAGCATGACAGCAAATGTGGACACCAACACCCCTGCGTCATCTCACTCTGAGCCTCTCTCTCTTTGCCTCTATGCATGTGTGCTTCTAAAGAGTGCTAGCCGTGTTTTAGAAGCATGTTTGGGCCTTGTTGAGAGTTCACCAGTCTTACACAGACTAATAGAACAGATATGAGAACAGGATCTGTCCTTCTGTTGCATACAAGAAACATTCCTCAACTTCAAAGACAGACTTCAGCTCAGAATAAAGGGTTAGGAAAAGATTCTCCAGTCAAGCGGACCTAAGAAACAAGCTGGTATAGCTCTTCTAATATCTAACAAAATAGACTTCAAACTAAAATTAATCAATAGACATGAAGAAAGACATTTCAAATCTTTCAAAGGAAAAATCCATCAAGACCATGACTATGCCCTAAATACAAGCGCACACACATTTGTAAAAGAAACATTACTGAGGTCGTGTGGGGGTGGCGCAGGCCCGTAATCCCAGCATTTGGGAGGCAGAGGCAGGTGGATCTATGTAAGTTTGAGATCAGCTTGGTCTACAAGAGCTAGTTCCAGGACAGACTCCAAAGCTACAGAGAAACCCCATCTCAAAAAACCAAATAAATAAATAAAAATAAAATAAACAAAAAAAGAAAAAAAGAAACATTACTAAAATTCCACTAATCTAAGGCTTTCTCAGAAGCCCCAATGAACGACAAAAGGAACCTAGTCTTCTGCCCTTGCTCAGGAATGGACTTGGCAAGGTCAGCCTGGGGAGGAGGCCTGGACCTTGAAGGAGTCAAGGTTTTGGTTCCTGGGAACGTGGCTGCTCCTCCTGAAGAGACTTGAGTTTCAGTCCCAAGGCCACTGTGTGTTGTGTCACTAATGATCTTGAGAAACCCTGTGTTCCCTTTATGTGATATCATTGATTAGCCCCCTGCTGACTTTGTCCCATTTCTCCCCTAACAATAGTATAAAAGATGCTGTACTTTTTAATAAGCTTCCTTGGCATAAGACATAGCTTGTGTAAGACTTCCCTAATCTAAATTTACCTGTCTCTTTTCCTGATCCCCTCATCCTCTGTCTCAAGAACCCGGTCGCTGAAGGACAGTGCCTCTTTGTTATTTTCTGATAAATTGATTGAAGTTATTTTTTTTCAAAATAAATCAACACTGTTTCTTTCTCAACATATGATTTTGCACAGGGTCCTATGCAATAGAAAGTAGTTTGAGTCTTCTTTCTATAGTAAAGCTATTCTAGACTCATATTTATTTCTTCTCAAGCCAGGTCCTCTGCTGTTTCTCCAAAGATTTCTGTTTTGTTCTTTTACTTTCTTTCTTTCTCTATTTAGTTCACATATACAGTGGTTTGCCTGCCTGTATGCCTGTACACTAACATGTGCCTGTTGCCCAGAGAGGAGGGCTTCAGATACCCTGAAGCTGGAGTTACACCTTGTCAATGCTGGAAAGTGAACGAGTTCTCCTCTAGAACTAGTGCCCTTAACTACTGAGATGTCTGTTCTGATGGAAGGAGTTGATGAACAACAATGGCACGTGCCTGTAACCTCAGCCCCTGGCCAGCAGAAGCAGAAGGGGTCAATCAAGCTCATCTGGTCTGTAGAAGGAGTTCCACGGCACCTAGGAATACAGAGGGAAACTCTGAATGATTTGGTTTGAAAGAAAATGACCTCAAAAGAGAGTGGCACTATTAAGAAGGTGTGGCTTTGTTGGAGAAAGTGTGTCACTGTGAAGGTGGGCTTTGAGGCTTCATATGTGCTCAAGATACAGCCTAGTATTTCATCCCACTGCCTGTTGCCTGCAAGCCAACACGTAGGATACTCGGCTACTTCTCTAGCACTGTGTCTGCCACATGTCACCGTGTTGCACCATGACTATAACAGACCAAACCTCTGAAAAGGTAAGGCAGCCCAATTCAATGCTTTTCCCTTACAGGTGTTGCCATGGTCATGTTATCTGTTTACAGCAGTAGAAACCCTAACTAAGACACTGTCCCTAAAGTAAATCTACAGAAGAAACCAATTAGAAATAGGGTCAGAGGGATTGCTGCTCTGGAGGATGGGAGTTGGTTCTCAACACCCAAGAGGCTCATAACTATCCAACTCCATCTGCAGAAGATCCCAAGCCTCCTTCTGCTTCTGTGAGAACTGCATATACAATCAACATAGATACACAAAGACATGCACACATGAAATAATAATAATAATTATTATAATAATAATAAACCAAGGGTGGAAAAGAAGACAGAGGATAGAGAAGAGTGGGAGAGCGTGTGGGAAGGTATAGCCTCAACTTCCTGTACCACAAAACAAAATGAAAGCAACAGCCAGTGTGGCACAGGGTTGACTTTGCTGTACATAAATCCAATTGGCTCCTTGTCTCACGCTGCATGGCGAAGAGCTGGGAACTCTGAGTTCAAGGCTCAACTGCTCACTAACTTTGGCTTGCCGACTTATCTCTGAGCCCAGGGTCTCAGAGGGAAAGCTGAGCTCCTGACTGATAGTGTGAGATACACATGTGCTGTATGGCACTTAACTCTCCCAGGGCAGCTGTGATTAGGGTACATTGTGTGTCTAACTCTCATGGGCAGAGAGGAGTTGCCTATGTCCACAGGCTGCAAGAATCTCAGCCCTGGGCCCAGAAGGGGGGGAGTGTAGTGAGCAGATCTTGGAGTCAGGGAGTGCTGAAAGTTCTGGAAGAGTCCAGTCAGGCAGAATTTTACCAAAGAAGCACTTGAATCTTGATAGGTATTTATTAGTCAAAAGGCAATCTAAAGCAAACAGTGTGCCAAACTAAAAAAAAAAAAATTAGAACTCAAAGTCCCAGGTCATTAACATCAGAGGTCCTTCAAATTCAACAAATGAGCCCAGAGATGAGAGTCAATGTCGATGAAGCAAGAGGTCAATGTACCAAAATTAGTGTGGCATCTTAAAGGGACAGGCTGAAGCCAGGCTTGGGAAACACTAGATGTTTGGTAAAAGGTAGCCTAGAAATTTTTGTTTTCTTTATTTTTTATTTTTTTAGCACATTTAATAAATTAAAGAATCTTTGCACATTTCTGAATTTTATTTGCATTTAGTGTTTCTAGAGACAGGGTCTTTATACATAGCTGTGTGACTTTTATTCTTTAGCAAAGTCTGAGTGTCACCAAATGTCACCAAAAGACAGCTGCAGCAGCTATGACTCTTCCAAGCCATCTATGGAACTTCCCACAGTCTAAATTGTGAACCTGCATCAATTCCCGACTCCACCCACAGACATGGTTGAATACAATGATGTTTGTCCAGAAGAATCTCTGAGTTTCTGGTTGAGTGGGAGTTGATGACATCCCTGTGGGCTTCTCCTCTCCCACTTCAACGTGTTTTAAACCATCTCTTAATCTCCATTCTTCAGCTTCTCTTCAACACAGACCCAGACTTCTCTGACCCCTCAGAATCCTCTAAGTACATTCCTTGATGCTGTTTGCCTGTAGATGTGGTACCTGAGATGCTTCCACTTGCAAGTATCAGAAAACTCAAAATATCTTCATAAGGCAGATCAGCCATCAGAGGTGAATTGCAGAACTCTGGAGTTGGTTAACCTGTCAGTACAGTGCTATTATCAATGACCCTAGAAAGTCTAGGCTACTCTGTCATGTCCGCAGTGGGCTAGAACTGCGCAGATATCCCTCTGGCTGAATGGAGGAAACTAGAAAATACAGTGATGACAGAATAGCACAAACCATAAGAAAAGAAAAAAAAGAAAAAAAAACCCAACTAACTAAACAAACACAAAACAAACTTGGTAATGATAAGAGACACATTGACAACAGATACCAATGAAATCCAGCCAAGCATAAGAACAAAATTTAAATACTTCTAACATTTTAAATTAAGTGAATTTCTAAATGCACAGGATGTGGCAAAATTAAGCTGAGAAAAAAGTTCTTAAACTGATTCATAACGAGCAGCAAGACTGAAGCAGTAATAATACATCTCCTAACTTAGACATGCCTAGA